ACTATGCAGACTGGAAGCTGCCACTAATTAGAATAATTAGAATAGTTTAAAAGCCTGGAATTTTTTTTTAAAAAAGGTTTGCCTTTGGGGAAAGGCAGCCAAAAGAAAGCAATGGGACAGATCCATAAATGAGAGGCAACAGTTGCAAGAGCATTTTGTTGCCAGCTTCACTTCTAACCAAGAAGGAAATGACAGTGGCTTGGCTGATGAAAACAACATCTCTTTTCTACAAAATGAAAATAGCAATGGGCAGGTCAAACCTCAATTTTGCATATTATCAGTTTTCAGGAACCAAAAAATGAATACAGTTAGAAAATTCCACAGCTGAACAATATCCTTTTCTTCAAAGTCAGAAAAAGGAGTTGCTTTTGTATCTACAAAGAAACCCATAAACATCTCCACTGTATCTGCAAACAAACGTAAATAGTACCTATTAACTGCAACTACAAATATCCACACCACCATAAAGTTATAACATTTCCATTTAGTTTGTAGGATGTTTTAAAAACACAGCAAACAAGTCACAACAGGTAATAATACCATCGGGACTAGGTTTTTAGGGGAGAAAAGTGTTTCTCCCTGTTTGAATTTTTTCTTCCACCACCTAGACGTGTTGTTCCATGGCTACGGCCAGGATCCCAGAGTCGAGTAAGTGAGGAATCTCTAGTGCGCTCTTTATTCCTCTTAGTACTGAACCAAGAGTAGAGGAAGAGTATGCTCATCTGAGATCTACTGCTGATCTTTCCAAGAGTTTGTTGGAGTGGGAGTTCGGAACTGGCCCCTTGTCACATACTCATGACAGATCATCACTATTTCAGCTATTATTTCATTATTTCAGTTGGTGATCAAGAACCCTTCTCCTACCTGTATGCTTCCCAAGTTCTGCAAGCATATTTTCATAGAGAGCCAACATCTGATCACAGTGTGCAATAACACTTTTACGCATATTGTCCCAATGTGGAGCAAGTTCCCCTAGTTCTTTGAGCTCCTGATTCCTAGAATGGAATTTAAAAGAAAAATGATATGATTCTAATGGGGTAAAAAACATATCATTAAATGAAGCAATTCAACAGCTAATTAACCTTTTACAGTACTTACTTACTGGCATAACACTATCCTCTTCTAACAAAGCCTATAAACCATGTTGTCCATGCAAAACCCCCAGGATAAATCCTGGCAATTCCAGGTTTGGCTAAGCTTTCATGTCGTAAATCCTGGAAATACTTTTACATTGTAATTAATGTCTGTGACTCATCAAATGTTATGAACAAAAGTCATAGCAGGGTACCTAACAACTATATCCATGGGAAAATGAATTGGCTCCTGTCCATGTCTACTTCTTCATACAGTGATTAACGGAAGTATAGCTAGAGTCTACCAACCTTCTACAGTCTAGCACCCTATAAGAACATTTGACCACAACTTCCATTATTCACAGAAACTTTTGATGAGAGCATTCGTTCACAATACAATGCCCTAAAAGATCTCATTTTTATAATACAAAAAAACCCCAAAAAGTATGTAACATCTTAAACAACAATCTAAACTAAGAGTGGATGCTCCACAATTATTCCAAGAATATTGTACTTAGTACTTATACAACATGCCATATGCACATAATAAAGTAGTTTATTGCACATAAACATATGGTTATTTTACAGTCCCATGAAACTTATACACATATGAAAGAGAGTGAGTGGTTCCTATCCCAGATGTTGTTGGACTACAGCTCCTAGATTCTCTATTAATCATGCTGTCTGGGAACTTTAAAAGTCATACTCTAACAGGCCCAGAAGACTTAATTGTCAGGTGAGGAGGATACAAGTAAACAAACAGACCCCTGGTGTTAGCAAGACAGGACAGATCCTTCATCAGCTGCTCTAACTACCAGCTGATGACCACTTTGATAACACGGCTGGAGTTAACCATGTGGGTATGTGCCACTGTGTGTTCCCATGTGTCACCACAGAGAGTGGGCATGTGTAACTGCCTTGAGCTGGACATGCACATGACCTCACAAACCACTATCCCCTTGATGGGGATCCATCTATGGATGGTCCCACCTCTGTGGGAGCCCTCCTCAACTATCTGAATCCATCCTCATGCTTCAAAAACATTCCCAGCAAAGCTGTGACAAAAGAGAAATGGAATATAAATTAACCATCTTTTCTAGCAGAGAGTGAAGGATGGGTCGGTAGGGCCAAGTTGCAACCAGGATGACTGGCAGCCTGAGATACATCCACATTTATACCCTACAGCTATGGTTCCCAAACTCAGGTACTGTACTCTGACTGCAATTCCCAGAAGCCTTCACCATGAGCTGTGCTGGTCAGGGTTTCTGAGATCTGAAGTCCAAAAACACCTGGGTTATCCAAGGTTAGGGACCACTGTCTTACAGGCAGACCGCACTGAAAACTTCACATTTCCAGTCCACCTGCAGACTAGCCCTGTCTCCCAGCCTCCCTGATTGGCTATCTCCAGGTAAGCCTGGACAACCACATTTGGGAACTCATGATATACAGATATAGATGGCACAAATACAAACACAAGGATCAAAGATATTTTTATATGAAATACTATTTATAAAATGGTGCTGAAAAACCAAAGACTGAGGCAAGAGAACCCATCCCAACATCAGCTATTCATGATATGAGGAGCCTTGGTTTGTCAAATACAGATGGTTAGCATTCAAGGCTTGACAAAGACACTTTTCCAATAATATTCCTTATTTCTTTTTGCATATGTTGATACAGAAGGATTTTTTGATTTTTCTGATCTTATTTTCTTCTACACTTGTTTATATATTGATATCTATATAACAATATCTATCTATTAGAGGCTGGCCCTCAAGATCTTGCTAGATTGTAGCATCCCTCAGCCCTAGCCATCATAGTTCTACAGCACCTGGAGGGTCACAGGTTACCCACCCTTGTGTATACACCCATGTGTATATTCCTGATTATATATAACAGAGCGGAGATATGATAGCACTTTTCAATACTTGAAAAATAATCATACAGAGGAGGGGAAGGATCTGTTTTCAATCATCCCAGAGTGCAAGCTACGTAATAGTGGGCTCAAGTCACAGGAAGCCAGATTTTGGCTGAACCCCAGGAAAAAATTCTTAACTCTTAGAGCAGTATGAAAATGCAACTTATTATCTTAGGAGGTGGTGAGCCCACCAACACTGGAGACATTCAAGAGAAAATTGAATGTCTCCAATGTCAACCATCTGTCAGACCTACTTTGATTTGGATTCATGCACGTAGCAGAGGGTTGAATTTGATGGCTTTCTAGGTCCCTTCCAATTCAGTTAGTCTATGATTCTACAATTATAAATTGGATCACATATTAATGCACTGTAAAATAGCTCAAACCGTATGAACGGTATATTGTACAAATACTGTAGTACAAATTTTGCAAATAAATGTGGAGCACTGGATCTTGATTTGGATTTCTATTTGGGATCTTTTTGGATACTAAATTGTGTTCATTGTGTGATCACTAACTGAATTTTATGTTTGAATTCTGTAGTTCAATATATGCAGAAGACAGAAGGTTGAAAAAGATTAATCTAGAATTTAGAGGCAATGGAACCCTTAAAACTATTTTTTTTTAAAAAACTTAGTATAGCACTATGCTTCACCCATGTTCTGAAGAAGGCATGCTCAGTCTTTTCATTAAAATAATTAAAATACCAGCTTAAGAAAAAAAATCCATTCTTTTTCTTTAACATTTGATACAAGGATGTATTTTTGTCCTGGTTAATCTTCTGCTTGGCAACTGTATTTGTTGAGTGAAAATGTCAGTGCCATGGAAAATAAACAATTGTGTCACTGGAGATTACAAGAGGAAATCCTTCAGCAAGTTATCAGCTTTCCTGTTCACTCCTTTGGAGTCTGGCCTGACTGAATTAGAGTTCCATGAAGTGTAATCTAAAATCACATGTTAAAGTTTTACTGCTGAAGCTGCAGCAGTTTTGCTGTACTGAACACAGAGACATCTAAAGCCTCTTTTTATTCCATTATGATACGTGATTCTCATTGGTTGACATCTGACAAATGAAGCAGAATGTCCTTCCACATGTGTCTAAGAACCCTGGGGATCATGCTTGGTGGTGGTTGTTAAATCTATGCCAGTTCCAGAGACAGGAAAAGTTACTGATTTTTGTACAAAGCTCTCAAAATATCCTAGCCAGCCTTACCACTGTAGTCTTAAAAAGTAACTTTTCCTATAGCTGGCTAACTCTGCTAGATCTCTAAAAAATAATCTGCTTTGATGCATTTTAGAAAACAGGTGAAAGGATTTTGCTACAAGAATTTTCCCTCAGTTCCTCTTTCTATGTAAGTGCAGACCTTTTTTTTGAAATTTAGTTTTTTAGACAACACTTAACTAGGAACATATTATTCAGATATATTTCAATATGTATTCTTGATGATAATACAGATAATCGTGGTCAATTTGACAATATCAAAAAAGACATAAGAGATAAATCACATCACAAACTATAAATATATATCAGACATATATGATACTTATCAGAAGAAAAACAAGGGGAATATGACCCTTCTGATTCTTTTGCCTCTCTAAACAACTTTCAGTGGCATAAACAATAGTATGTTTCTAAGGCCTTCTGTATAGCGTGGTGTAGAAGACTATTTCATGGTGCCCAATTTTGTGCTGGTTCCAGTTGTAAATTGGTAGGAAGATTCTGAAGTTCCATCTAGACCTAATAGGAAGTTTTATGAATCATAGGAGAATGAAGTTGGAAGGGGCCTATAAGGCCATCGCGTCCAACCCCCTGCTCAATGCAGAGAAACAAATCAAAGGATATATGCCAGGTGGTTGTCTAAATTTCTCTTTAATGCCTCCAATGCTGGGAGCACGATTCTGTAGCCAACAGTGCATCCTCCTGACAGTTGTTCTATACAGCCCACATCTAGTTAGCTTACGAAGTAGAATATCATGGGGCACTTTGTTAAAAGTTTTGCTGAAGTCAAGATATACTATGTCTACAGCATCAATATCTTTCCATCAAACTGTTCATTCCAGAAAGATGCATAAAACTGTACAAAACGCAACTTTATAAACCAGTCTAAAAGGTCAAGAGAAATAACTGTTTTGAAGTGATATGAGAAAGAATACAATGCCTGTGTTAGTCATACACTGTACAGGGAGGGTGTTCCACAGTTGGAGTGTGACAACAGAGAAGAGTCTTACTCTTGTCATATGATGTGCTCAAGGTACTTGTAGGAAAGCTTCTTCTGATGACCTTAAAGTACTATGAGGCCAAAACCAGAAGAAGTCATAGATATTTTAAAACTCATTATCTTCCCACAGAGCCTAACAGACAATAATCACAGTTCTTTGGGCATATATTGTATCAGGCAAAGTGAATGAACTATTTATCAACAAAGAGGAATTTCATAGCTTTTTTTAAAGGGCAGATGCAGAGGATGGCACTTAGGAACATGCAAGTACAAAAGACATTATTGAAAGCACTAGAACATAGCCTCAGCGGATTCGATTGTTGGGCTGGGACAAATCCAATAAAATAATGCAAATTCTTGCACAGCTAAAAAAAGAAATGTTTAGAGTGCATGGAGAGCTGCTCCAATGTGATGTCTACAAGTCATAACAAAAATAAGAACAAAAAGGAAGAAGAAATAACTTGCTTATTTCAGTGTGTGAGCTTTCATCCACTGCTTTAGATGAAAGAATTGTCATATCCATGACATTTCATTGGTTTTATAGGTAAGTTTTACTTTCAGCATGTTGAACCAACTGTATCTGCCTTTTCCACTGAATCCTAAAGGACAAGTTTGATATGACACTTACTGTTATCTGAAGATACATTCTCAGATGATTGCTGTCCTAAAAGTTAATCTAAAATCAGAGCAGCTGACTAAATCTTGCCTAAAACAGTGAAAAATCCTCTTTGCAGAAGTACGAAAGCACTTTTCCAACACAGATGAATGCTGTTCTCATTTATGTCTATTGGGAATTATTTACATATTTTTGAAGGTAGGAGACTGCTCTCAGTATCTTAAAACATCCCTTCTTTGATCACTTAACTAGATCTGTAACTTCAGCTTTACATATTGCCTGGTTTGCATATCCCAAGAGGGTACGATGAACGTATATACTTACAATTCTTTTGCCTCATGAACAAATATCATGAGATATTATAACACAGAATAAATACAATGTTCAATAAATAGAATATTCAAGGGACTGAGTGTTTTACCCTAATGTAACCTTTAATGTGAAAAATATGACAACAAACCTTCACTATTCCCATTCCAATTTCTGAGGTGAGAAATTGTTGAAAAAAGCAGAGCCATTCCAATTCAAATATGGACTGCTAGACTGCTGCTTAACAACCTATGGCCTAATTCAATAGTTAGTCTCAACTGAAGACTATACTAAGAAACAGAAGAGTCTATTCCACTACAGAAAATAATCCAGATATCAACAATGATGTATAGCCCTTCTTACAACTTTGTTGTAAGAAGAGTTATGTGCTCTTGAAATCTTTGTATTCTTCAATTAAGAGAATATAAACAGATTTTAGTTTGGCCATTAATAATTCTTTACAGAAATCAAGATTTTTAAACATTGATTACTGAGCAGAAGGTGAGGAGGAATTAAAGAACCTCTTAATGAGGGTGAAAAAGGAGAGTGTAAAAATGGTCTGGAGCTCAACACCAAAAAAACTAAGATCATGCCCACTGGTCTCGTCACCTCCTGGCAAAGAGAAGGGGAAGAAATGGAGGCAGTGACAGATTTTACTTTCTTGGGCTCCAGGATCACTGCAGATGGAGATAGAAGCCACGAAATTAAAAGACGCCTGCTTCTTGGGAGGAACGCGATGACAAACCTAGACAACATCCTAAAAAGAAGAGACGTCACCTTACCGACAAAGGTCCGCATAGTCAAAGCTATGGTTTTTCCAGTAGCGATGTATGGAAGCGAGAGCTGGACCATAAAGAAAGCTGACCGCCGAAGAACTGATGCTTTTGAATTGTGGTGCTGGAGGAGACTCTTGAGAGTCCCCTGGATTGCAAGGAGAACAAACCTATCGATTCTAAAGGAAATCAACCCTGAGTATTCACTGGAAGGGCAGATCCTGAAGCTGAGGTTTCAATATTTTGGGCATCTCATGAAAAGAGAAGACTCCCTGGAAAAGACCTTAATGTTGGGAAAGTGTGAAGGCAACAGGAGAAGGGGACGACAGAGGATGAGATGGCTGGACAGTGTCACTGAAGTTACCAACATGAATTTGACCCAACTCTGGGAGGCAGTGGAAGACAGGAGGGCCTGGCGTGCTCTGGTCTATGGGGTCATGAAGAGTCGGACACAACTTGACGACTAAACAACAACAACTGAGCAGAAGTTGGAGAAGTTGTAAAGAATTATGTGCAAACCTACAGACTGCTTTTCCTTAACTCACTTCCCAAAATATATGATTTTGTTTTGAAGCGTAACATTTAAAAAAATATTTTGAAAATAAATTTAGCCATTGGAAAAAAATGAGGAGAGTGTCAGGTTAAATATCTCAGCGTATAAATAAATATAGCACATTTTGTTCGACTGTCATGTAACAGAAACTGATTATTTTTAGGTAACGTGAGTGGACCAGATAAGTTAGTTATAATAAATATAATCTTGTGTCATCAAGTTGATTCCTACTTATGGCAACTATTCCCAGGGCTTTCTAAGTACAGTGGTGCCTCGCTTAACAAGTGCTTCGCTTAACGACTAATTCTCTTAGCGATGACTTTTTCGGAGTGATCTTGCGTTCCGTTTAACGATGTTCCCTATGGGCAATTTTTGCATAGTGATGTTTAGGACCATGCTTCACATAGCGATGACAGTTTGGGTCCCCCTGTTTCACTTAACGATGGTTTTGACAGCCTCATGTTGGCTGTTTTTTATATGTTTAAAAATCTTTAAAAATGTTTAGAATGCTTGAAGTCATAAGTGCACTTAATAAACCCTTTGTTAAACTAATTTGACTTTGTTCCGACTCTTTTTAAATTTGTTGTAAATTTTTCCCCCATTGAGATGCATTGAATAGGTTTCAATGCATTTGAATTGGGGAACAGTGTTTCGCTTAGCAATGTTTCCTATGGCGATTTATGCTTAAGGATGGCAAAACGTTCCCATTGGAAGGGATTATCCGGTTTTCAATGCATTTCAATGGGAAACCGCATTTCGCTTAGCGATGTTTTCCCATAGCTACGATTTTTTTGGAACCAATTAAAATCGTCTAGCGAGGCACCACTGTAGAGAATAAAAGAAATGATTCACCATTCTCTTCTTCCAAGAATATCCTATACAGCTTGCCAAAGACGAAACAGGGTGGCTCTTTTCTTAGGAGGCACAGTGAGAAATTGAACACCCAACTCATTTACCTAAACCACTGAGCTATCGAGCCAGCTAAGGTAGGTATACACCATGGAATTTACATCATGGACAATACAGTTCCAAAACAATGCAAAAGCTGTTGTGGGTGCAGTTAAAACTATGCTACAGCACTCTGCGAGGAGTAAAACATGAACAACCTCAAACCACTTGCTTAGCCATTCCATGAGACCAACAAATCATTTCCTGCCTCTGGAAGCAATTCTGCTAAAACTACATTAGTTGCTCAGGGGCCTCTGACTTCTCTGTCACGCAAACCAATTTCTTAACTTGATACAGTATAAAACAGCAGCAAGTGAAAATGTTGGTGGGTGAGAACAAAAAATAATTTCACAGAGGAGGAAAACACAGCTGCACATGTGGATCCTCTATTCCTACTTTTCTAAGTCAGATCTGTATTTTTCTACAACTCACGTGGCAGTGGGATGAAAGCCCATGACTCACAAGTGGACACATATTGCTTTATATCTTTACTGCAGAGGGTGTTTATGTACCTTGCCTTTGTCAAAAGGACAAAAACATGTTGATCTGAATTAGGCCTCTCAAATTGAAATAGAGTGCATTTTAGCTTGCTTTTGTTCACAGTTGTGTGACAAGGTTAAAGGAGATGTGGATTATTTTTATCAGGTTATACTCGGACATTTGACTTCTATTTCCTGAGAAAAGCCAAACTAGTTTGCCACCATCACCATCTCCTCCTAGTGGCCCCTTGAAGATTAACAGGTTTTAACTAGCACATACTGCTATTGTTCATAAAAGCTCCGGCTAATGAAAACCTGATAATCATCAAGGTGTCACTAACCTCTTTGCTGTTTGCTTAAACTTAGTGTTTGTTTCTAGTAGCAATATAATAATAATAATAATAATAATAATAATAATAATAATAATAATAATAATAATAATAATAATAATAATAATAATAATAATAATAATAATAATAAT